CCCCCGCCTTTTTCGTTAACCTAAATATTTTGGGTGTATATGTTTAAATAATTTTTATATTGGCAACACCAGTGTGATAAGTGTATGTCGTCACTCACCCCTGTCCGTATTCCCCGAGGATGTTTTCTTCAGGAATCCGCACGTTGTCGAAGTGCACCATGCAAGTGCCGGAGGCGCGGATGCCGAGCTTGTCCTCGGGCTTCGCCACGCTCAGCCCCGGAGTCTCACGATCCACGATGAAGCACGTGATGCCTTTGTAACCCTGTGGGGAGTTAACCAGATCTGACCTGAATGTCAACGTTGATATATTCATCCATTCATTCACCCATCCATCCTTATCCATCCAATCTTAGATAGATTGATGGATGGATGAATGGATGGATGGATGGATGGACGAATATACTAAAATTAAAGAAAAAAATATATCTAAACGAAAAATATATCTATAAGAGGAAAGATTTGTATTTTTGTGTGTATTAAAATAAATAAAAAACCGGGCCGATTTAGATAATTCTTCAATTATTAAAAAAATACGTTATCACTAAGTAATGTAGACTTTTTTATATTACGCGGACGAAGTCGGGAGCAACACCTAGTTACTAAATAACATCAAAATGGAATGTTTGTTATGGAAAAGATGGACAGTCTCATACAAGTAATTGTTTTTACTTAAGATGTCCTAACAACAATTTTCTTTTTTATTTAAGTAATAATTATTTATTTATTGTTGAAGTAATGAAAAACATTTGCACAATAATCTGTTCGAATGATTATAAAAATTTATACGAGTATGCATATTTACGTGAGCATTGTTTTCTTTATAAAAAATCTATTAAATACATATTCATATTAAAAACCCTACTTAACATATTGACCTAGTAAATTATTGCCATGGTTCAGATTGCGTAATGCATAAAAACGATAAGCGAGAATGGGTCAACAAACATTGCTAGATAAGTTTTTAATATAAGCAAATAATCTTACTCTTACTAATATTATAAATGCGAAAGTTTAGATGGATGGATGTTTGTTAGCGTTTGTAGCCTAAACGGCTGAACGGATCTCCATGTAATTTGGCACAGGTTTAGAGCATAGTCTGGAAGATCACATAGGCTACTTTTTATCCCGGGAATAGTTACGGTTCCCGTGGGATTCGTTAATTTAGTTTTTTAATATTTACTCGATCATTCTACAACGGTTTAACATATCTTATTGAAATTTGGCACAGATGTAAAACAAAGTCTGGAGTACACATGGGACTTATCCACTTGAACCTTAGTTCATCCCCGAGAAATGTCCGGTTCCAGAGAGATACGTAGCTTTTGTTATTTATATAGTTCGTATGTTTTCTAATAACAACGCGGGCGAAGTCGCGGGCAACAGCTAGTGATAAAATAAACAAAAAATAACAATTACTTATAAGAAACATTTTCGGACATTTTTAGTCACAATCCAGATTTCAAATGCACTGTAAATAGGGTAGGAAATAAATGTCCTCGACTGTACTAACCTTGCTGGGATCAGCGTTCGCCATGACGAGGAAAACTCCCGCGACATCGGAGTTGGAGATCCACATCTTGGAGCCGTTGATGATGTAGTGGTTACCATCCTTCTTCGCGACAGTCTTCAACGCGAACGCATCAGAACCTGACGTGGGTTCTGTTAAACAGAAACTACCCGCCTGGAAAAATCATACTAATATTATAAATGCGAAAGTTTAGATAAATGGATGTTAAAGCGTAAACACTTCTTTGTTGACCGACTTCCCAAAAGAAGGAGGTATTCAATTCGTCGGTATATTTTTTTTTTTTATGTGTGTTACGGCATAACTCCGCCGCTAGTGGA